AAAAAAAATAATGTTCTCTTATAATAAGTTTAATAAAAAGTTTTACTGCAGCCAATAAGCTTTTTAAAACACTTCTAAATTTTGGTATTTTTAATCCCTTCTTTTTTTCCCCATGCCATCATAAAAACAAAGAATTTCATTAATTGCTAAATAGTAAAATCTCTACAAAAAAACCTCTTTATAGACAACTGCTACTTGCAGATTCGTGAAGATTTTGAAAACCGGTATAAAATTACCAAAGATAAGCAAGAGCTAAGGATACGAAGCGTAAAGTTTGGCGATGAAGGATCCTATCGTTGTCGAGTGGTTAACGGTTTTGGACACTTTGATATGGTTTTTCAAGTTCATGTTTACGACCCAAAAAGTTCCAGTTTTCTCGACTATATTACCAAATCAGAGAGACGAAGTATGTGTATCTTAATAGTAATACTAAGTTTTTTTGGTGTTGCTATGATGTGACAGTGTTATGCAATCAGTTTTAGAAACGGCACCGAAATGGTTAAATGAAACGGAGGTTTTGAGGTTAACAAAGGAACCGATACGGCTGTATGATGGAGAAAACTTTATTCTACGTTGTTCAGCTGAGGGTCATCCAATTCCGGAAATAACATGGTTTAAAGATGGCCATGTCCTGTCTGCTGCAACAGGTGATCTTACACTGATCGTCTTTTCCGTTTCCACCAACATTTATCATTCTCCAGAGTTTAATTGCTAAGATTTTATTGACAGATAGCTATGATTTACAGCCTCTTTTATTGCTACTAAAAATTTTTTAAATATTTTATTTAAAAATTTTTATATAACAGTACACTAGATAGTGGAAACAAAGTGACTTACTTCATTTTAGGGTTTCCCTTTTGTGTTATCTAATCGCAAAATATGTTTACTGGAAAGCAGTATATTTTTTTAATGTGTTTTTAGAGTTAAAATGTACAATTTAATTTAAGAAAATAGAAAGAACCGAAATGCAGAATTGCTTTTGAAAAACGTCAACTCTTCAATGTCTGGTGAATATACCTGTCGACTGTCAAATCAGTACGGAACGCTAAACGCAACATTTCAAGTTTGCATTGGCAAATATCGCAACGCTCGACATTGCAAATTTGAGCTTCCCGAAATTGATCGAACCTCAAATACGGTGATGGTTGGACGAAATGCAGAATTTTTCTGTAAATTCAAGAAAATGACGAATGATCCACTAGAACCAGCCATTCGGGTATTGATTTTGACCTGTTTGAAATAGTTCAACGATTCAGATTCTTTAACTCTGATGAAGCAGAAGTAAAGCCAAGAACAACAAAAAAAAAAAAAACAAATTTCTCAACTTGTTTTAGGATTATAGCTTTTTAAAGATAAAAAACACAGGTTAGTCTTGCATAAATGTTACTGTTACTTTTGCTACATGTGATAACAAGTGGCAAGTTAAGTAG